AATAGTCAATTGTATTATTATTATTATTATTATTATAATTATTATTAAACAGACAGACATATCTCTAGACGTGTAGTAATTTGACGTCTATTTCAATGTAAAATAAAGGTTACATTTTGTTATAAAAATAATAGTAACAGTAATAATAATAATGAAATAAATTTATGATGCATTTGTGATATAACAACAATAAATACAATATTAATATTGCATTGAAAATAAAATATTAACAAAAAAAAATAGTAATAATAATAATAAATAGTAACACTTTATGCATGACTTGAGCGCACAATTGATTCATTACAAAAAATATTGAGAAAATATAAATTATATTATTATTATTATTATTGTTGTATTTATTGTTTAATATTATGTGAACAAAATATATATATAGATATAAATCAAATTTATAATTTATTATAACAATTATTTAAATTTATTTATTTTATTTAATATAACAAAAATAATAATAAATCATATAATGAATATATAATAAATTAGTCTATAAATTTATTTATAGTATTTTATTATTATTATTATTAGTACTATTGATTTATTTTTAGTAGCTAATGTTTAAAAATTTTTTGTTGTTTAAAATAATATAACAATTATTATATACATGTATAATATTGTATATAATATTTTTTTTTAATATCATACACACACACACAGTGTGTTTTTATAATTATAATATTTTATTGTTTAATAACTTTTTTTTAAAAATTATAATTTTTTGTTGTTTAGTTATTAGTTTAATATAATGTATGTCTAATTGACACATTTGTAGTGTTAAATAAATGTATAGAAAAAGGCTGTATTGTATTATTATATTATTATTTTTATTAAAATAAAATTAAAACAATCAAAATGTGTTATAATTTGATAAATATATTATATAAATTTTTTTTTAATTACATTAGAAAAAACAAAATAATTTTCCCGTAATTTTTCAAACAAAATTTTTAGTCATACAATATATATATATATATTTATATATAATTTAAACAATATATTTAACAATTATTTTTTGAAAAATATAATTATTAATATAAATAAATATAATAATAATAAATTGTCGATTGTGTTGCATATAATTTTGTCTATTGTTTTATTATTATTATTATTATTATTATTATTATTATTATTATTATTATTATTATTTATATAATAATAATAATTGTTAATTTAAAAAACTATATACACTTATATTTCTATTGTTTAATTTGATTGATCATAGGTAATTTAACTATTATTATTATTATTATTATTATTATATTTATACCTAGAAAAATTTGTTTTTTTTAATTTTTTAACATTAATTTTTTATGTTTAATAATGTTTAATGTGTGAAATTTTTTTTGACTAATTAATAAAAATGTTTTTTTAATATATTGTTTACTGTAAATAGTTTTATGCTATTATCTAATTTACTAAACATTATGTAATAATAATTTGATTTAAATAACAAATTTAATTTAAACTAACACTTAATTAAGTTATTGTTTAGTTAACATAGTTATAAAACACATAATATAGTTATTAATTATTTTTAATTTTAATATTAATTATAGTTTTTATTATTATTATTATTTTAGTTTTAGTGACATATATATACTTTTAATAACTATTGAATTCAATGACACATACATTATATATATATAGTCTATAATAACGGAAACCTCTTTATATAATTTATAACGAGTTTCTCATATGATTTTATTTTTTTTATTTTTTGGGAAAACAATTTTTATTAATTGGAGTAAAAAATAATTTTTTAAAAATACTTATATATATATAATATCAAAGAAAAAAAACTTTATTTTTATGTTATTTTCTGAAACATATATATTTAGTCTCAAATATATCATCATTGGCTGTCCTTTTTAACTAACAGTTTGTCTATATCTTACTGATCCTAACTTTATTTTAATAGGATATATACTCAGTGTTTATGTATGTGTGTGTGTGTGTGTGTGTTTGTGTGTGTGTGTGTGTGTGTGTGTGTGTGTGTGTGTGTGTACTGTATGTATGTATATGTGTGTGTGTAATGTATGTATGTGTGTGTGTACTGTATCTACTGTATGTATGTGTGTGTAATGTATGTAAGTGTGTGTATGTGTGTGTGTGTGTGTATGTGTGTTTGTGTGTGTGTGTGTGTGTGTGTTTGTGTGTGTGTGTGTGTGTGTACTGTATGTATGTATATGTGTGTGTGTAATGTATGTATGTGTGTGTGTGTGTGTGTGTGTGTACTATATCTACTGTATGTATGTGTGTGTAATGTATGTAAGTGTGTGTATGTGTGTGTGTGTGTGTGTGTGTGTGTGTGTGTGTGTGTGTGTGTGTCTACTGTATGTATGTGTGTGTGTTATTTGAGTGCACAACAATTTTTTGACTCTAATTTGAATTTAATTTACATTTAATTACAATTAAAAACTAGTTTTGCTATCTTTACTGGTGGTCTCTCTCTCTCTCTCTCTCTCTCTCTCTCTCTCTCTCTCTCTCATTGAACAGTGATCTGTATTTTATTTTGTTGCAAAAATAACTAAAACAAATTGTTTGACTAACTTTTTAAGTTTTTTTTGGGTTTAAAAAATCATATATATATATATATAGTTTTTGATAATTTTCTGTATCATATATCAATTGCCAGTAAAAAAATACTATATAATAATAATACTAATAATTATTTAATTTTTATGGTCGCATATCGATAGAGATTGTATTTAATTTTTATTTTATTTTTTGTAAGTAATGTTATTTATAATTGAAATTCAAGCAAAAAATAACATTATTGATAAATATTAATAATAATTATAATTATTTATAAACCGGATAAAACATAAATATATATTATTTAAACGTATTTAAATCAAACAGTTTATCATATATTATATATATATATATTGTGTTTTTTATACAAAACTATTTTGCAGTTATTTTTGTTGTTGATATAAATTTTTAATCTAAATTTAACATAAAAATTAGACAAAAAATAAAATATCTAAATTAATAATAATAATAATATATTTATTAATTTAAAAAAATCTAATAAATCAAATTGAAATAAAAATTAAATGACTGATTATTATTATTATTATTATTTAAAAAACATTTGTTTTACTTAAATATAAATTGTATATATATTAAAAAAAAGTTGTCTATTATACAGTCTACTTGTATTTATTGTGTATGTGCTGAGCACATGTAGTTTTTTAAAATACATACCACTCCTCCTCCTTGAATACATTTTATATATATATATATATATCTTATTGTTAGAGAGTTATAGACTAGTATTTAAATCTGTGTCTAATCTATATATCATATCTATTTGCTTTATATATTATTATTACAGTATTATTATTATTATTATTTTTAAAAAACTATATATTTAAAATGCTAAACACTATTTTGTTTTGTTTGATAGCATAGACACACAAACAATAAGTAAAAAATAAAACAAATCATTTCAATCTTCAAATTTTATCTACAAATTAAGCAATTATTATAACTATTATTATTATTATATATATATTTTTTGAGATAATAGTCTCTCTCTCTCTCTCTCTCTCTCTCTCTCTCTCTCTCTCTCTCTCTCTCTCTCTCTCTCTCTCTCTATGTATGTATGTATATATATATATCTTTATCTATGTCTATGCCTATTATCATCTATGCCCCCACTTATATATAACCACCTCCTACTCCATCATAGTATAGATAGATAGATAGATATCTATAGATAGATAGCCCGGTGCTGATGATGACGATAACATCCTGTGCCCAGACTTTTGAACTTTTACTTTCAATAATAGATATAAATTTTTTTTGACTTTATTTATAGATTATGTATTTAAGAAAATTTATTTATTTATATATATATATTTAACTTAAATATTACTATAAAAAAAAATTTTTTTTCATAGACAATGTTAGTATTAGTATTATTATTGTTGTTATATTTGTTTGATTATAATAATAGTTGTATTGTGTGTATAGTATAGTATATATTGAATATTATTTGAATGCTTTATAAAAATCGGTATTTTTTTAGTGATGTTTATCTAAGCAAACTATATATATATATATATATAAATAAAATTTATATAAAATAAAATTATATTTTTATAAAATCAAAATTATAAAAGATTTTATATATTATTATATATACTGTTATTGTTATTATCCAATCAGATATTATTATTATTATTATTATTATTGTTATTATAGCGCACACATGTATTTAAAGTGTTAATCAACCGTCACCTTCAATATATATATATATATAAACTGTATATATATGATCAATAAGTTACATACAAATAATAATAATAATAACAATTGTGTTATACCATTGACAATGACCTCTCTGTCTATTTTTATTTTATTTTATTTTATTTTATTATTTATTTATTTATTTGACATACCTTTTATCTCCCAATATGTTATTTTTAAATATATATAAAATTTATATATTTAATATTTATATAATAAATTTATTTTATTCAAAAAAAATAAAATAATAATAATAAGACAATGAACTTCAATTGTTGTGTTCAATAGTAGTTTATATATATATATATATAAACTTTTTATTTTGTCAACTATTTATTGTATTATTTATTTATTTGTATTTATAATTTATGTATATTTTGTTTATTTAACCCAAAAAAAGTATAGATTAGATATAATTAATAAATTAGTTTTTTAATTTTTTTTCAATAAAAATAATTTAGTTTATATGATGAACTAATTTTTTATAATAGTAATTATTATAAATCTATATATATATATATATATATATATATATATATAAATTTATTTATTTATAATATTACTTTACAAATTTCTACCTATAGATAATATATGTCATATATATATATATTAACTAATAGATAGTATTTATATATAATATCTAATATTATTTTTTTTAATTATTGACACAAAATAAATATATATAACTTAATTAATTATTTTTTTTATAAATTTATTACTACTATTAGGTGCGATATTTTCAAAACAATTGTGGCAACAATACGATAGCTATTTATCAAAATATTCAACAATTTTAAAGTAAGTTATATATTAATATTATTTATATTTTATAATAAATTTTATTATTTATCATTTATTTTCAAACAATTTTTCATTTATTCATTCAATCAAAAAAAATAAAATAATTTTTTAACAACAAATTTCATTCATACATACATTGAAAATAACATTATTATTATTATTATTATTATTTAGAGTAATATAAAGTTTTTTTTTCGCAACAAATAACATAACATAATATACAATATATTTTTTTTATCGTATAATAAATGTGATATATATTTAAATAACTTTTTGAATACTTTATATTATATTATATATATATATATATATATATATATATGTTATAAATATGTTTGTGTATAATATCCACACAAAAAAAATATTATTTATGATTTATACGATTTATTATAAAAAATTGTTTTTATGAACTGATTATTTTTTTTGGATGCAAAAAATTATTATTTAATTTTTTTTCTTAAACACTGAGAGAAAATATAAAACATAATAATTCATATTTATATGAATACCTATATATATATATATATATATATATATATATATATATATGTAATAAATTATATGTCATATGAAAAGCCAATTACATATTTACTACAAATTTTTTTTAAATATATATATATATATAAAATATTTTTTTTTTAAAAAGTTCACTCAATAAGAGGTAATCACTTCAACACCGATATTATCCATCATTTTTTATTTGACCACAAAATCATATATTTTTTTTTGTATAAATACAGTATATATTTAATAATTACTGTATATATACTGTATATATATATATATAATGTAAATGTATTTTCAAAGTCACATTGATTTTATTTTATCATTAATAAGTAGTAGTACTTTAAACTTATATATATAAAGTACTGTATATTGTAATACATTCATCAAAAATATAGGGTTAACCCCACTATATATATACATACATATATATATATATATATATATATATATATATATATACAGTATATAACTAACTAAAGTGATACAAATATTTGAGGAGCTAATCACAAACCAACCAAAAAAAAAATTAATAATAATAATAATAATTAAATAACTTTTCTAATGATTGAATTGATTTTAATTAGTTTAAAAGTTTGCGGTAATTATTAAAATAAATAATTGGATTTTTTTGTTGCAATAATTTAATTGATTAATATGACAACAACAACAAAATTATTATTAAAAAAATAGTTTATATATATATATATATATATATATATATATATTTGTATATTAAATGATCGAAAACTAGGAAATACTTAATATTTACAGAAATAAAATAAATAAATTTTATGTATAAATGTTTTATTTTTGTTGTTATAATGACATTAGATTTATTTATTTATTAATTTTTTTAGTGAATATATTGAAATATTTTTTTATTATTAGTATTATTTGTCAATCAATTTATTTTCTATATATATATATATATAATTTTTAGTAATATATAGCAAATAATATTTATAAGGACTTAAGTGTATTTAACAAATATTTTTTAATTAATTAACTATTAATTTAATCGATATTAAATAAATTCAAGTAAATTATCGATATAATTAACAATTAATATTTTTTAAAAAACTATTATTTTTATTTTCATATTATTAGTTTGCATTTTAAATAGTTTTGATTTTGATTTATTAGTATAACAATAATAATAATAATGCAAATAAAAAAACAATTATTTGATTAAATGCCATTTATAAATAACATAATAATGATAATAATAATAATACATATATTTTCTATACATGTATGAAATAATTTATTTAATTATTGTAAAAGATTTTTATGTGAGTTATATATACTTTATGTATATAAATATATTTTTTGGATTTAATTCAAATTTATATAATTTTTATTTATCAAAAAAAAACTAACATTTAATACATGTATTATATTATTTCAAGTATTTATTATTATTATTATTATAAGTATTACATTTTGTTGAGACTCATGTAACTCATTATAATTGTTAATTTCATTTACAATTTGTGTTGAATACAAAAAATATGTTTTGTTTTTTTGGTTATATGTAAAAATACAACCAAAAAAATGACATATTTTTTATTTTATTTTATTTTTTTGGCTAACAATTTGCATAAAAAGATATTCAAATATATATATATATATATAATCTTTTATTAGTTGTAGAAAATATTTTTTAAAATTACAGTAAAAATTTTTGTTTGTATTGAATTGTTTGTTGTATTTTATTATTATTTTATTTTTTTTTAATTTAGTAGTCATATTACATACAAATTTTAATGTATTAGTATATCGTATGTAAATATTTAAAAAAAAAAATCAATGACTGATAATTGTCTACATATTTTCAATGTTCAAAATTGATTTATCACTTATTATTATTTGTATTATTATTATTACAGTAGTATTATTCAAAAAAAATTAAAATATCATGAATTATATACAATTATACTAATACAAAAAAAATAAAATGATTTTTTTATACATAAAAATTTTCAGATGTATTGATATGTCATATATAGTTGACATTTATGTATATTATAATATATATGTGACTGTAATTTATAAATTGTTTTTTTGTTGTTGTTTTGCATTTAAATACGATAATTGTATGATTAAACTGTTAGCTATATATAATTGATAGGCTTTCAAACAAAAAACGCATAAATAATTTAGTTTTAAACTTAAAAATTATTTTAAAGTTATTTTTTGTTTGTTATACAATTAGTTAATATAATTTAACAGATAATATAACAAAATGTGTTTTTTTTTGTTTTCTAGTTTTTACATATTATATATATATAATATGAAAAAAAATTTCAATGTCAGTCAAATTAATAGCTTATTATAAATATTATAAATACTATTAATATAATTATTAACAAATTTGTTTAATAATTTCAATTAAAATTGTTCAATAAAATTGTTAGAATATATATAGATATAAAAAATAAATAAAATAAAACTTTGAATATTTGTTTGTTTTTTTTTTGGTATTCAAATTGTATTTATATATATATTTTATTTATTATTTGACAATTAATTGCAGGCCATTAATAACAATTTTTATGTGACATTCACATTAAATACCAATAAAAAATAATAATAATAATAATAAAAATAAAATTATTTAAAAAAATAACAAATAAATTATTGATCACTCATTTGGTTTTGTGAATAATTTTAAATATATATATATATATATACAGTATATTTAGTTCATATAAAAAACAACAATAAAATGTGTATTCATTTAGTTTAATATAGAAAATAAAATATTTTTTTGTATATATATATATTTGTATTTAAAATCTAAAAAAATATTATTATTTTTTTGTATAAATAAATATAACGCAGAAAAAAATATTTTTATACAACAACAACAAAAATTGTTTATAAATAAATAATTTTAAGACAAAATAACTCATTTTTTTTATGAGTTTTACTTTACTTAACTGACTGACTGACTGACTATACAAGTGTTATACCTTAGAGAGAGAGAGAGAGAGAGAGAGAGAGAGAGAGAGAGAGAGAGAGAAAAGTAGGATTTTATTTTGTATTTTTAATTTTTTTCGTTGTTTTTTTTGGGTATTATTTTTTCATATATATATATATGTATAATATGTGTGTCTAAAGTAATAGTAGAGAGAAATTTAGGTTGACTTATAATATACAGTATATACTGTATATATATATATAATACTATTACTTATAATACTGTATATATAAGGAGCACTTGTATTTTGTTTGGGCACTTGTATTTTATTTGCACCCTTAACACACATACCTGTGTGCGTTCAAGTATTTATTAAATACTAGTGTATATGTATGTAATGTATGTACAGTAATAATATGTGTGTTGGTATAGACAGGTTAATGTTGTTATATATATATATAAATTAAATATATATATATATATATATATATATATATAGCAAATGAGTGTGAACTTGAAATTTTTAACGGTGTGGACTAAATAGTGATTTAAATATTATATATGTTTTTTTTGTTGTTGAAAATGTTTATTATATGTATGTATTTATGTACTGTATATATATGTATGACTAATAATTATTAAATACATGATATAAATACTATAAATATATATATTTATATATATATATTTATATATATATATATACAGTATATGAATAATTAGTTATTCACGCGTTTAAATGAAAACATGTCTAATAGTATTATTATAATTATTTTTTTATTATTAATTTCAATGACTATTATATATATATATTTATTTAACTAAAACAAAAATTACATTGATAATTGAGGTCCTAAATAAAAATTATAATGAGTAATACAAACAACAAAAATGTGACAATTTTGATTTAATTAGTTTTTTTGAACATAAAAATTTTTAGTATTTTAATTTTATTTTTATTTTTTTTTTGGTATAATTATTGATATGAAATACACACTAAATATATTCATTGCATTCATGCGATACTAATTTTTGTAGAAATTTATTTTATTTTTTATTTTTTTCAACAATAATAAAAATCAATCTAAAATATCTTATGAATTAATAATTATTAAATAAAAAAAAATTATTTTTGTTTTATATGTTAATTATTTAGATATTGATAGGAGTGAAATATATATATATATATATATATATATATATATATATATATATATATATATATATTATAATTGAGTTAATTTAAATAAAATAAATTATTATATATATATTAGAAAATTTATATTGACATTGATATAGCATTTTAATATATATACATATTTTTTTCTCACAAATTATATTTTTTTAAAAATATATTAATGTTTTTTTTATGTAGTTTAGTTAATACTGTATTAAATTATTTGATTATTTCAATTATCTCATGTTTTTCACACAATTTATATATATATATATATAAGATATGAAAATTAACATTTAAATTAAATATCTAAACATTTTTTTAAGTCAAAGTTTTATATACAGTATATTTAATATGATATATAATATTAAACGATTTGTTTAACATAAA